GAGAGAGAGAGAGAGAGAGAGAGAGAGAGAGAGAGAGAGAGAGGAGAGAAGAGAGAGAGAGAGAAAGATAGAGAGAGAGACATGAAACAAAAATAAAACACCATCAGCGAGTGTTGCTGTGCGCCGTGGTGGGGTCCACCTGTTTCCCTAAACCCCGAAAGGACCCCGCCAAACCTCATTCGATGTTCACGACATTTCCCAAAAAAGCGACAGACAGAAAACGACAAACGACAATCAAGGTAAGCGCAGCCTCTGGTTGCGGACAATGGTCTGCTACTGCTATGTCTCAGGGCATACTGACACGGGGACCAAAAGAACCAAAAATTTGAGGCATCTGGGTATGGTTATTTGGGTCATTTGGTCCCTGTGTGGTCACACGTGCTGGACGAAGTCGCAACCCTGACACTTTGCACTCAGGGCAAGGTCCTGCGGTCACACGAGGGGACACCAAAGAAAAAAAAAAGAAAAAAAAGAAAAAAAAGAAAAAAGAAAAGAAAAACAACTTCGGCTGGTTGTCTTATTCTTCTACGATTTTCTACAAATTGAGGAAAGGAAACGAAAAAAGCGTTTGGTCATTTGTGACCACCTCTGGAGGTGGTCTCAAAAAGGGTACCCCGGCGGCCTCGCAGGCCGCTGACATTTGGGCACGATTTGAGGCATTTGGGTACAGGGCCAACCCCGTGTGACCACAAAAATGCCTCAAATTTTGGGATTTTGGTTCATTTGGGCCCCGTGTGAGTTCTGCGCTCACGAAGTGGCCGACCTAATCACGCTTTGCGAACCGGGCCCCTTTACCCTTATTTCTTGCAGGCTGCACCATCTCCCCTTCCCATTGCTCCCGACTGGCTGCGCTCGCTCGTCGTGCGCGCTAGACAGATAGGGCCTCGCCACACCACTGACCCAATGCATCTTCCTCAGAAAGAGGTAAGATGCATCCTTTGCCATTTATAGTAATGGATGCATTTTGCCACTCTTTGCGTGAACATGCACTCAAATCTTTTTTCGTTTCTAGAGTGGTGTGCAGATACATTTGGAAAATTGTGCAGTGTAGCGACCGGCATTTGTACAGTGGAGCGAGGGCCATTCCCCCCGCGGCTCTTCAGAACTCCAGAAGCCACAGTCCCTAGGCTGCCCTAGGGCTGACCTCATCTCTCTCTCAAGAAATAAAGCCAGCTCGGTTCCCAAAAGTACCTTTGTCGGCCTTTTGGCCAAGATCAAGTGTAGTATCCGATACGCGGGTCGCTCCCGCCGGCTGCAGCAGAGATCTTGAAAACAGATGGCCTTCTATCCTTTTATTTTATTTTTAAAGCTATATTGTTCTCTCAATTTCACCTCACACTACCTACCTACCAGTCCATGCCGTGTGTTTTGACCGCAACTCGTCGACTGCAATCGTGGCCAATCAAAAATAGTAGAAGTATAGCTGACTAGATCAACACTGGGGATTGACTGCCGAATGGACCGACTCTTGTTGGGCAGGGCTCTGCCATATACCGACAAGAAACACAGACCGTCGGGGATGGGCGCCACGGCAAGAGCGGCCAATTCAGCCAAAGCCAAGGGAAAACGATACAACCCCCTGCGACCCCAAAGCCGAATGAGCTCCCATTACAAGAGAGTTCTGCTGTTTCTCTGATTGGCACATCTATCCCTGCGTGGGGCTTTTTTTGGCACCCACAAACTCGCTGAACGGTCGGCCAGGTTCCGCTGATTTCTTTCGTCGCTTCCCCTGGACCAAACGCGCGGGACCTCCGCGGAGTTCGTGGGTGTCATCCTTGCGTGCGCCTCCACGGAGGTCCCGCGCGCTTGGTCCAGGGGAAGCGAGGAAAGAAGTCAGTGGAACCTGTCCAGCCGTTCAGTTCAGAGGCGATCGCCACATCCCCTCTACCCCGCCAATTTCGATGGTCAATAGGTGTCACCCTCACGGGCAAGCGAGGAGCCCGGCGCCTAGGTGATTAACAGCATTCCTACCGCGGCAGGCAAAGTAGGAAGGAGGGCAGTGTTCGCTGACTAGACAGCGCCACGAGCCTCGACTCGATTTCGAATTCGGAGACGCGCGATACTGGCCGATATACGGGAAAATCTGATATTGCTCGACGCGACAGATCAAAGACGGGAAAGTCGTTCTCTCGCATGCACACTGTGTTTAGGTGCCCGCACGCCTTCGTATCCCCGCTGGTACGATTTGATACCGCGGAGGACATGGCGATGCCTCGGAGGAGGGCATGGCGAAGCAGTGGATGGTGTGTCCAGGATTCGGGAGAGATGGCGCCCACTGGCTCTTGTACCTCGGATGTCCGTAGGAGTCAGCTGCTGCGTAGCGTTTCATCGAGTCCCATCTGCATACCTCTCCTTGGCGTCAGTCAACTATCGTGTGTCGCAGGGATGATGAAGCCCCAAAGCTTCACGATTAGAAAAGTTGGTCACCCACGACTAGCAGCGACAGTCCGTCCGGTGTGCGCTAGTCCATTCCCTCGTGTTAATATGATCGGTGTTGCTTTCAAGCTTGTGTTGCTGGAGTACGTTTACGGTAGCTCTCGTCTCTCTTCATTAACCTGCTCACGAACTCCCTCCTTTCCATGGTGCCATTGTGCTATCTTCTTGCTTGCTCAACGATGCCATTGTGCTATCTTTCTGCCGCATAACGTTGACACTTGTAGATCTGTTCGGTGTRGCGTAACCACGCCGCACTGCGAGTGGMAGCTGTCTCGCAGAMGCGTTCAYAGCGACGCTCACGACCTTCCGCAAGGASGTGAAGCGAAGGCCATCGTCTTCTCMAACCTMCAACCTCCAAGCTCCATCTCACAGAGCCAACGTCAATCATGTYGTCACTYYCYGTCGTTTCCGCGGAACATCACCAACGTCGCAGAACAGTCGTCATCAGCTGGTCGAGAGGAAGGTCTCACTTCCCCCCCATCTGAAGTTCAAGATCAGCAGTATCGCATTTGTGGCATCTTGCCGCTAAGCCACGTCGACCGTTTCTGATTCAATCACCCTAAGTACGTCGTGCAGCCAGCAGCAGCTGCATCAGAAGACAGACCAACTCTCTCTCTCTCTCTCTCTCTCTCTCTCTCTCTCTCTCTCTCTCTCTCTCTCTCTCTCTCTCTCTCTCTCTCTCAGAGACACACACACACCGTGCGCTGAGGCGTGCACCACCATCATGGCGGCGAATGGCTGTGAAGAGACCGTGAGGGGTTCTGCCGATGCGTGTCCCGCCGAGCGCGACGGCGTCACGGTTTGTGGCAGGGGCGAAGAGAGGGGTTCATTCTGCTGGGTTCGCGGCAGCGTTCTCGGGCAAGGGTCATTTGGGCGGGTGCATCACGCGCTCGACAAACGCTTGTGCGCGGTGTTTGCCGTGAAGACCGTAGCCATTCCGCGGGAGGCTGTTTGCGATCCAGGATTTCCTCGGCGTGTGCGCCTATGGCCGAGCTTCGTGCATTGGAGAACGATATGTCCATTCTAAAGCGGCTGGGTCCGTCTCCGCACGTGGTGCGCTACCTTGGGGATGACTGGACACGTGGCCACGACAGGTCATCGGAGCGCAACCTGTTCCTAGAGCTGGCCAACGGGGGCAGCCTGGCTGACTTCTCGAAACGCTTCGGCGGACAGCTGGACGAGTCCATGATCGGGCGATGTTGCCGAGGGATATTGCGTGGATTGCAGCACGCGCACTCCCGAGGAGTGGTGCATCGGGACGTCAAAGGTCAGAACGTCTTGGTGATGGTCGACGAGGAGGGTGGGGTAACCGCCAAGCTGTCTGACTTCGGGGCTTCATGTTGCGTCTGCGGGGAGCCTGGTGATGACGTCGACAGTCAATCGCAGGATCCGTCCACTCAGATTGTCTCTGAATCGAAGGAGGATGGCGGAGCATGCCCAGGACGTCCCGTACGCCTCGCAGGAACCGTTGAGTGGATGGCTCCCGAGGTAGCCAGCCAGAGCGACACGCTAGAAGGGTCTGCGGACATTTGGTCGTTAGGATGCACCGTGTCTCTGGATTCAGGTGCTCCGCGGCAGGAGAGAACAGGGGTGTAGAGTAGCTAGTCCGGCCATCTGCCGGTGAGTGGCGGTGGAGATAAATGCGTTTGGCAAAATTAGCATTCGTCATTAGGACTGTCTCCAAACCCTAGAACAATTAACTGGTACGTCAACTACGCCTGGATTTATAAGGAGCGTCCGTGTGTCAGGCGATTTTCGGATGCTTGCCACTGATTAAGAAAACCTCTAGTACGTGCTCCATTGAGCGTTTGAGCGTTTTCTCTGCCATCAAGAAACGTCGRTTCTGTGAAAAGCCTAGATTTAAGCGGAGGAGGAATGGCGCAAGTTAGGTTTCGCCAATAATAGTTTTTGTAGTCTTTACCATAGCGTAGCTCCGTGTATCTGTTCGTTTGTGGAGCTGTAGGGACCTGAGTTCTGCTGAAGTATTAGGACGTCGACTTCCTTCCAGCCGTCGGCAGCTGTCTGGTCAKTGGCATAGTTGACGGCCTCTGGCGATTCAGTGTTGCTGACCTTTGACGATTTGATGCCCATGTACTTCCTGAACAGATAAAAAAAGCCCATTAAATTTGCACAACACGTTTGTGTCAGACTGTGTGATTGTGCAAGAGAATCCTGTGCTCTCTCTCTCTCTCTCTCTCTCTCTCTCTCTCTCTCTCTCTCTCTCTCTNTGGTGTGTGTGTGTGTGTGTGTGTGTGTGTGTGTATTTCTTCATTTGCCAGCTTCGTCAGTGCTTCGCTGGGCCCTCCACACTCCGCAAGTCGAATGCCGGCTCGACCTTTTACCCGTTCCTTGTTTGCTCCCTCCCTTCGACTATTCCGTATGGGTATGTCTGTGTATTTGTTTGCTCCCTCCTTTCGCCTATTCAGTATTCTTGAGAAGTTGTGCACGGCAAACATGTCAACACACTCCTGATGAGCCCGTGAAAGTCTGATGAAACAGTTAGGCATAGTCATGCCTTTCTCTTTGCGTAGTTCTGTATAGAGAACATGACAACACACACACACACACACACACACACACACACGCGCGCGCGCGCGCGCTATCAGCTGCTTTGGTATTGTTTTCTACTCATCTGGGTGGATTAGGGGCTGTTGTGGTGAAAATCCAAAACACACGCCCAGTTCATATCCATGGCAGAGTAGCCGTACAGCATCTTTGATCTCCTTGACACTGTGGACAGACTAGTTTCTCACTGACAGACTTACTGCCTTCTTCTCAGGGCAGGGGTACGGACCGAAACACTGCTACGAATGATAGCATTGTCAGGTTAGTGCGAACAAATTAACATCTCCTCCAGCCTCAGCAGTATAGCTAACTCTGGGCGATGTTGTGAGTCCTTGTCCATCAGTCAAATGCATCCTGGGCAGACAGTCAGGCGCAGTCACGCTTTATTTTCGAGTTGTGTATAGCCAACATGACAACACAGGCAATAAATCATACTATTCATTTTACCGCTTGCTTCCATTCCAAGTACGTTTTTCTGTTCTGCTCTCTGCGTTGCGCCCCGTCTTTTTACGTCTTCTCCTGTCTTTGTTTAGAACCTTTCAGATGTGCTGTACCTGACTGTTAGGATTGTGTGCAGTACTGTTAGGGCGGCGGCTGCGATTGGGATGCCTGACTGTCCGTTGTTCCCTAATGAGGAAAGATATCCATTAAAGGGACTCGCTGACTCCAATGGTGGTGTTCGTCTATAGTCAACAGAGCTGTACCTGCGGTGTGACTTGGTGATGGTTAAGTTTGGCCTTTGTTAGTTGTGTGAACTGCCTCGTCGGTGTTGCCCTGCTGCCTGGGTGACCATTGTCTGTCTTACCTTTCCATGCTGCCAACCCGTTTGCCCTGCGGCACTCTGCTGCTTGCTTTGCTGTTCTCATCCCCTGAGTTTGCCTTGCGGTTCGCCTGTTTGCCTCGTTTTCCTTGCGGCTAGCCTGTTCGCCCTGTGCGGCCTCGCCACGCTGCTGTTCGACTTTGACGTTGCCCTTACCATGTGCGCCACTGCCACTGCCGCGGCAGTGCGGACCATCTGTCTGCTCACCGGCCTTGTTGCCTTGCTGCATGCTATGTTCGCCTCCCCAGCATGTGCTTTGCTGTTGCCCGGATAGCGGGTTGGCTACCTGCCCTACCTGCTTGCCTTCTTGCTCCCTTGCTACTTGACTTTACTGATTGCCTGTTCCCTAGGGCTTGCTTGCACTGAAGCCATCTCTCCCTTGCCGCTTGGGTTGTCACCTGCCTGGCTTTCCACGTGCAGCAGCTTTTGAACTGGCTTACGGGTTAAAGCATCATTATCTGGATCCTACAGACTGTGAAGGGTTCAGCCTCCTAGGCTCCTACCCTACCAGCTTGCCTTCTTGCTCCCTTGCTGCTTGACTTTGCTCATTGCCTGTCCTCTTGCTTGCCCGCCCACCATCCCTCTGCTGTCTGGCTGTCCACCCTGCTTGCTTTCTTGTTCCCATGCTACTTGACTTTGCTCATTGCCTGTCCCCTATGTGGCACCCTCCGTGGCCTAGGCTGCGACCGAGGAGGCCGGCTCCGACCCCATGACCCAGTTTCCGCGCAGCCGTGCGCCGCCTGCGCAGGTCGGCCCCCTACCCCCCGCCAAACAAAAAAAAAAGAATTAGCGACCGAGGAGGCCGGCTCCGACCCCATGACCGAGTTTCCATGCAGCCGTGCACCGCCTGCGCAGGTCGGCCCCCTACCCCCCGCCAAACAAAAAAAAAAAGAATTAAAATGAGGGGGGAGGGGGGGTTTAATATGTCCGTTTTAGACGGGTGTTAGAAAACATAGTAACCCCCCAAAAGAAGATTGCAATCAGACTCGTCTTCTTCTTACTCAGTATGCATGAAAACAGATGGCAATCATACTGACGACGACCGCCCAAACTAACCTCAGAGATATTGTGGCCAAGAACACAGTTCAGATTCAACTTGCTAAGAATGGCTATGGTGCCTGTGCGCCCTTACAGCACCCTTGCACACTGTATCCTCAGCACTGTTCACACACATGCTACTCTGGATCTCCCTGGAAATGCACACACACTCGCACACACGCTGTAGACTACCTCTAACCTATAGCAGCTATGGCTGCGGTCTACCTCTTCCACTAACTCGTGGCTATGGCCGCTTCGTCTCTCTTCAGCCCACTTCTTCCTCGGGCACCTGCAGACCTCCTTGCACAAGTCGCTTAGGCAGTGCTTCCGCACGGCTCACAGTCTGAATGAATGAATAACTGGACGCTGCCTCTTCATTTATACTTCAGTTGCTCTCTTCCTGGAACCGGAATACGTGCACATTCTGCGGATGTAGCACCCATGTCGTCTACCCGCTTGCCGCCTTGTTCGATTGTCTTGCATTTTTGAGAAAACAAAATTCATGCGTGCCTCCCCGCAACCCCTCTTGCAACTCCATATTCATTTATCTTCACCCTGGCAACTGGTGGCATGAATGATCACCTTCCACACAAACCAATCACTTGAACTACAGAAAACCCTACTTTGACAAGTTCGGATCCTGATGAACTTAGAAGATCGTGCTACGTCGGATCCTCTACTTCAAAAACCCGCATTTAGGCGCTAGCCGTTTCTGACGAAACTTGCAGAATTTGTTGTGTGTGTCGCTTTCGTTATCTATGATACTTCGGTTAGCAGGAAATAGAAAAAGGCGTCGAGGACCCCACTACCACCATAATTCCCCTCGCCCGGAACTCCCGTTGAAGCGTGCGATTACAATGGTCCCTCAAGCGTTAGAACACAAATAAAATTTGCATGTTTTTTCACGGCAAGATAAACACTGGCAATTTTTTTCATCAATCTTTAGGGAAAATGACACGAATGACCTCATGTGCATAATCGCCTTCTCCTGATTCTTCAGGCTCGGGAGAGAAATGCCACTTGTGCATCCCTGCAACCAACCCTCACAACCCCTCACAAATGTTTTTTTTTTAATCGGGTGCTCGCAACATGAGTAATTATCTTTCACAATCTAGATGTAGATGATCACTCAATCCTCCTGACACATAAACCATTACAGTCTCGGAAAACCCTTTATTTCTTAGTTCAGATCCCGACGAACTTCGAGCCTCGTGCTCCGCTAGATCCTTCGCTACGCCCGCCGGCAAATCCATGTCAGCGACTATTGGCTGACAATAGTAATTGTGTAATGCACAAAGACTTCTTCAACTATGTTTGTTTGTGAAAAAACGAAACATGTCTTTTCGACCGCTCTGCACGCAGCCTGATCTCAGTCGTGTTTCATAATTTTGTCGAGCTCGTGTGCCAGGAACACGGCCGATCATTTCGGTTTTGACATGGTGATGTTCTCTAGTCTCACCTCGCAGCAGTAGCGAAAATCTCACTTCTTACGAGTTTGGTTCCCGACTTCCCGTCCAACTTTAATGATTTTTCCACGACAAGATGGTAGCTGGAAGTTCTGTCTGTTCATCTTTGGATGGGGGTACGTCGACGACCTCATTTACACGACCGCCTTCTTTTCGTTCCTCAAATCTGAAAACAAATACAGTTTGTGCCTCCCTGCAACCGCCCTCAAATCCCGTTCCTCGTTTCTCTTTCGCAAGTCGGTGGGTAATACGAATAGTTATCGCACGCAGGCCACATAAAGCGGTTAACTTGTCCTTCCAACAACCATATCACTGTATTCACACGCAAACAAACTCTGACAAGTTCAGATCCCGATAGACTTCAAGCAACAAGTTCCTCCAGACCGTACATGAAACATGCTTGCAATTGTGTGTGATCAACTTTTCGCAAATTGTGGCAGTTCTACTATGTCTGCTGACTTCTTCGACTATGTTTGGCGGAGATAAATAACATGACTCTTCGACACCTTAAACCCCCCACTGAACCCCCAATTTGGTTTGTCGGTAAGGCAAGGCTTAGCACATGATGCGCTCGAAATGTTGATTGCTGCAATCGAAACGCAAATGAAACTCCGATTTTCGCAAGGCTTTCTTCCACACTCTCACATCATGACTATTGGGGGAGTCCCTCTTCTCACAAATTCAGATGTGGCCGACCTTGTTCAATTGTGAGGAAACAAAACATGCCTGGGCAGCCTGAACCCCGTAGCGTTTCGTAATTACGACG